CCCAGATGGACACCAGATCTCTTCCAGCAACTATCCTTTTCCCCGCCGATGCACCAAGCTATCATAGGAAAATTCAACACAATAATAATTGTTACTTTAAGATCAGAGGCTTATTGTTCTCCAGTGCGCTGCTTGGAGAGTCCAAGCGTGGGTTAACACAGCCTATCTGCTCTTGGACTGAGTAATGTTTTTCTTGACCACGCCTCCCTTTGCCTCTCCATGTTCAGTTTAAAAACTCAGTCCGCCTGAAGGGACTGTTTTGGGAGTGCGCCAGTCCAGGGGTAGATAGACTGGGGTTTCCCAATGTAGATTTGACCACTTCAATTAGTTTCATTCATCTATACCTTCCAAGACTAAAGGACTGCATCTGGAGGCTTGTTCTCTGCTGAGAGGTACCGGGCTGGTTTTCCCGCTCCCGCTGAATACAAGCGGAGCGAGGCATGTGAGTCGCCCATCCAGCATCAGCTGGCGGCGGAGGGAAATGAGCGGAGAGATTCCCTGCCGCGTAGTGCTTAATGTCGCCGGATTCTCTGTTTACAAGCCATTTCTAGCGTCTGCGGAGGTCTCATTTTGCTGCCCGGCAACAGCGGTGGCCAGCTTGGCCAGTTTCGCACGCTTTCTCCTCATTGGCCAGCAAATTGGTGTGTGACAGCTGCGCGCGCAGCGGGCGCCATTTTGTGTGATCTATTTCGCCATGTGCGCTCATTTTGGCTTGCGAGGTGTCGTGTGTAGCAGCAGTTTGGTGTTCAGCGCGAACGGAGCCAGGAGAAGAGCGAATAGCCCAGCGTTGCCTCTCATCCGCAGACTACCGCCGAGAAGGGTAGACCTAGTCCGGGGCGCCAGCTAGGCCTGCTCTTTACTCTCCTCAAGACTTGTGGACTCGGAGTGCAGTGGGGAGGAGGATTCTGACTTCTCAGCAGCCCTTTCCTCCCTCGAAGTTCTGTGGACGCGCTTGAGCCATCAGGCCAGCGTCAGGTGCCCTAGTACTGCGCACAGCAGCGTCAGCTATTCGCTTCAGTGAGAAGCCAGTTGGAACAGGGATCTCTCTTTCTCCTGTGCTTGGGGGCAGCACGGCTGATG